AAAGACACGTTGAGACTGCACATACCGTTGCCGTACAGCAAAATCTTAACATTTGAGTTTGGCGGGTAAAACACCGTTGTCAGCCTAGTCTCTCACGGTCAAAGTAGCCGTAGTAGCACCTCGCCGTAGCGTATCTGAAAGTCCCTATTGGCTTGCGAAGGTACAATGACTCCTTTAGGGCAACCCGTGCCGAACATTCAGGCCGATAAATTTTAGCTTGCGAAAGCGTACCAGCCCCTGTGCAACCTGCACTAACCACAAGCCGAGCCTTGATTTGTTGGCTTGTGTGAGCAAAATAACTCCCGATATCATGGACACCTGAAGGAATGATGAAAGAAAGCTATCAACAGAAATACAACTGCAATCAATTTCCAAAGCCTCCTACTTAGTCTACTGCTTAAGAAGCTGGATTTTCGATAAATGAAAACAGACATGGAAATTAAGCATAAGCTAAAATACGAAATTACGAAGGATACGAAGATAGATTTTCGATACATGCAAACAGACAACGTACGCATCCCAAAACAAGTTATGAAAGGAAAAAACCTACTTTGGCAACTGAAAGCTGGAAAAATAAAAATATCTTTAAAAATGGTACACAAAAGCGAAGCGGCCAACACGAAGGAGGCAGAAAATCCACTCACACAAGCCAACTAGCACCCAATCTTCTCATCTATGGGATCTAAAATTAGTACCCAGTCATCTTAGTAGAATTCCTTTCGATCACACGACTCTCGTAAACAGACAAACATCTGGCTGCCAATTAAATGTGAGCTTCGCTCACACAAAAACTCGTATATCAAAAATACAAAAGATTTCATTAACTTCCGAGATAATATGGAAGTCACAGAAAACACCATCCTAGCTGGCGTTAATGGTTGTGAGAAGCCTGTACACAAACATATCACAGGAGGAAGGCATTACGCAATGCGTGCGAGCGTAAGTCTTCTTATTTCAATTCCAACCCATTTCTATGCTACAGCTGTAAGACTTATCTTACAGGAGAATTCTTTCCTTTCAGTAGAAAGAATTATCTCCAAATACACAGACTACTAAGGGAACCAAAATGGCAGTATCTTTTGCCAACCTATTTATGGCAGCCGTTGAGACAGAAATCTGAAGTGAGAGGACACACGCAAAAAAAAACAAAAACAATGGTGTGGAAAAGATATAACGATGAAGTGTTCTCTTTGTGAAACATGAGCATAAAGGGAAATAAATGGTTTCATTGTACAGGCACATAGACATTATCCAACTATAGATGGTTTTCACTGTCACGCAACGAAAAAATATTCAGTGGATAAAGTCAAGAAATTTTGATATTATAGGAGACAGGTAAAGGAGACACTTCTCCAATTTT